TTTGCTTCCACTGAAAACAAGGGGAATCACTACATTTCAATGACTTTATGGAGCTAGTCTTGAGACCTGCCAGTCAGAAAGCTATTTACAGAAAGCAGGGGAACCCAATGGCTAAAAAAAAAAAATCCAAAACCGAAAGAAAACACCAAAAAGAGCCCCCAAAATGATATTAAAAAATGTTTTTAATGACAGCAACAAAGAGTTAAATCACGGGAGTGACTCTAATGGCAGATATCAGCTTGTAAAGGTGAGACTGCTGACCTGGACCTCACAGGAACTCTGCCTTTGAATTTCCTGGCTTGAATCAAATTCCTCAGAGACGTTTTGGGTTTTGCTGACTCCCTTGGTGAATTTTCCCAGCATGAGGGGTAAACATACAGAGGCAGATACCCAATGGTATTCCAGCACCTCTGAGATGGGAGGTCACAAGGAGCACTCCGCAGCTCTACCGCTTCAGCAGCATCCCCAGGGTAAATCCAGGGCTGTGTTTTGCTGCGCTGCCTTTGGGACATTTATTATCCAGCATCCCTGCCAGCCTGCTGCATGCCTGGGAGGTCTCCTGACCAATACTGTCCACCTGAAGCACCTTTTTTTTCTCTCAGACCAGTTTTACCAGTTGCCATACTGGTTTTACAGCTCACTCTGCTGTCCCTACTGGGAGGAGTGCTGCAGCTCTGATCCTTTTGGGCGTTTTCCCATACCTGGGTTTAGGATTAACCGAATGCCCTAATGTTTCACCAGCTGCCTCCCCAACTCTAGACAAGTAAAGCTGACTGCAGACTATACAGTTACTCAATGCAGAGGAGGCAGTATGTTTCCATAGGCTGTTGAAAAAGAAATGAAAGGGAACAGCAGGTATCCCTCCACAGTACTTCTGGCCAAGCCAAGGAGTTGACAAGTGCTGTGTTTCATGAACTTTTCAGTCTGGCTTGCAAAAGGCTGGGCCTGGGGGCAACATTTCTTATTACACCCAAAACATCTTTGGGACATGCTTTATCAACACTTTACTAATTAACTTGTGCAGAAAATGGTCTGCCCTTGTTCTGTAAAACTCAGGCCTGCTGTTGGGAAACAGGGACCAAACAGGCTGTGGTCCTTACCATTGGGATTCCCACCCACCCAGGCAACAGAGAGCTGACTCAAACCTGGGAAAAACTGTTCACTCATCACCAGACATTTCACACAATCATAGAATCGTTTAGGCTGGAAAATACCCCCAAGATGATCAAGTCCAACTTGTGACTGATCACCACCTTGTCACCCAGACTAGAGCACTGAGTGCCATGTCCAGTCATTTCTTGAACAGTTCCAAGGATGGTGACTCCACCACCCCCCTGGGCAGCCTCTTCTAATGCTTAACAACTTTTTTCATGAAGAAATTTTTCCTGATGTTCAATCTGAACCTCCTCTGGACAGGCTGAGGCCGTTTCCTCTTCTCCTATCACTTGTTACCTGAGAGCAGAGCCTTATCCCCAGCTGGGATAAGGCCAGCTACAACCTCCTGTCAGGGAGTTTTAGAGAGATAAAGTCCCCCCTGAGCCTCCTTTTCTTCAGCATAAGCCCCCACAGCTCCCTCAGCTGCTCCTCAGAGGACCTGTCCTGCAAATCCTTTTCCCAGCTCTGCTGCCTTTCTCTGGAGCCACTCCAGTCCCTCAAAGTCTTTCTCCCAGTGAGAGGCCCAGAACTGGACACAGCAATTGAGGTGTGGCTGCTGTCAACTAGCACCCTCATGTCCTCCTCCAGTGTGTCAAACTGCCTGGGGCTGTTGTTACCCAAGTGCAAGACCGAGCACTTGTTGAATCTCACACAATTAATTTGCCTCAGTCCATGGATCCATTTCCATGGATCCATTTCCATGGATCCATTTCCAGTGTGGGGCTGGATGGCACAGGATAAACCTCAACACGCTTAGAGATGCCTTTTGGGGTACATATATAAGGTATAACTGCAGGTGAAGAACATCCTGTGAGAGACAGATCAGCCCTGCCCTTCACAGGATCTCTCTGTGGTGCTGGGGGATCAGGGTCTCTGAGTGACAGCCTGGCACGTTTTCCTGAGGCCTGGCTGCCTTCCCCTCAGCGCTCTGAGGGAGATCACAGAATCACAGACTCAATTAATTTGGAAAATGCGTGAGGCCATCGAGTGCAACCTATGCCCCAACACCACCTTGTCAACCAGACCGCGGCACCAAGTACCACGTATCACATGTAGTATTTCCTTAAACATCTCCAAGAACAGTGACTCCACCGCCACCCTGGGCAGCCCATTCCAATACACAACCATCCTTTATCGTGAAAAAATTCCTATGTCCAGCCTAAACCTCCCCTGGTGCAGCTTAAGACTATGCACTTTTGTCCTGCCGCTGGTTGCCTAGGAGTAGATCCCCACCCTCGCCTGGCCACAACCTGTTGTCAGGTGGTCGTAGGGAGTGAGAAGGTCCCCCTGAGCCTCCTTTTCAAAAGGCTGAGCCCTCCCAGCTCCCTCAGCCGCTCCTCAACAGACCTGTGCTTCAGGATTGTGAACCACTAGGTATGGTGTCAGGGGGGAGCGGCTCCAGGCGGGGCTGGAAGCTCCTGGCACACACCCCTAGCCCGGCCCCAGGGCCCCGAGTCGGCTGCCAAAGCCGTGGCCGCGGCTGTGCGAGGAAAACCCCAGCCCGCGGCAGCCCCGGCTCCTGCCGGTCCGTGAGGGGAGGTGGCCCCGCCCCGCCC